GAATGAAGACAGGTCCGCCGGTCCGATGTTCAGATGATCTTCGACCACCTCGACTGAAGTCCTGAGTCACGGCACCAATGTGACTTTTGTATTCTGGTTACTGATTGGTCCCACCCTCCATCAACACAGGAACTCGGAATTTGGATGACAAAGCTTTATTTTCTGCACACAGAGCATTAAGAGAGAGAAAATGGCGAATCGTTACACTCACAGCTCCACAGCAGTTCTCTCTTACTCTGCTGCCGATCGTTCGTGCGCACGGTAGCCTATAGCGCCACCCGCGTACTCCATAGGAAGTGCAATCCCATTGTTGCAGGATTTATTTAAAGAAATCACAACTATATTATTTATCCCGTCACACCTACAATGGATAAAACAGTGTGGATGGCCCCACTCCCAGTTAAATGTGTTTCTAAAGGGTTGTTGTTAACATGATATTCTCAGGGGGAAATGAGCAGCAGTCAACTAGCAGCAGTGCAGCACCCGTAGACTAACGTTACAGTTTAGAGGAGTGCACGTTTACAACGGGGAAAGAATGAAGCTTACTTGACAACATCAGTTCATATATCCATATCGTAAAGAATAGAAATAACCTTAAATGTATGGTTATCTGCATCTTTCCATCTCTTATGTATAGTTACTTTTTAAACACAGCATGACACGCAAGCAATTGCCGTGGTAATGAACAACCTGCTTGTGCCATGCTTGCGAATGTATAATCCTGTATCTGAGGCAAAATTACTAAATGTGCAGCGCGAGTTATATATTTCTAACTCCAAACAATTAGCCATTGAACCAGCTTATAAAATCTTATTCAAGGCTGTGCTGGTTGCATTTGAGGAACAGGTCATGGGGTTTCTCAGATTTCGCTTGAGACCGGTAAGCATTCGCCTCGATAGTAGTCGTGTCTCCTTCATTGCGTATTTTTATATTTTGAATATATCCCTCCAGGGGCGGCGCCAGATAATTTTTAACGCAGGTGCTGAGGGGGTGCTAGATCATTGACAGGGGGAGCTGCGCAATTAGCCTATATATATATATATATATATAAATATAAATATATAAATATATATATATATATATATATATTTATATATGTGTGTGTATATATATATATATATATATATACACACACACACACACACACTATTATTTAACCCCTTAAGTGTCACGGGCCCACCGGTGGGCCCAAATCCTTTACATTTTTAAAACAGTAATATCCTATACTAAACCTAAACTAATCTTGACAAACTATATATCATTGGAAAGCTTAAAATCTCTAGTTTCCATATTTGGTGATTGATTTTCAAAATAAATTAGAGAGGAGCCGTAATTTATCAATTTGCAACAATAATATTTTCATACTCTTAGACCTTTATTTTGAAATAGTGATGAACATGAAAAATCATGAAAGAAGGGTAGAAACCTCAGTTTGTTTTCATGCCAAGAGTTCAAAAGATAGCATCCATTCAATTATTTAAAAAAAAAAAAGGTCTGATTTGTTTTTTTTTATATAAAGAAAAAAATTATATGATGTGGCAGGAAGCTAAAACGCACATGCGTGTTCTTTTTATGTTTCTTAGAGGTTGAAATCATATCAAAATCTGCCAAACTTCTCATATTACTTCTGAATAGGATGTCTACTTCATAAATTGTATGAAAATTGTGGAAATAATGGTTCATATCACTCAAAACACATATGGAAATGGAGGCGCCCTTATATGGGCAGTAATGGAGTCTGGTTGTCATCTAGTGAAAAAGTTTGGTACTGCGCCCAAACAAAATCTTACTGAAAGCTCATTTTTTGAGATATCAACCTAAAATTTGAAACACAACTTGTTCAGATTTTTGGCTTTGATTTTTTTGCAGTTTTAGAGTCGCCCAGGTTTTGAAAATAAATATTTTATATAAAATATGAATAATTAAATTTTTTACATTGTACATTTTCATAAACTCAAACTTCTATAACTTTTTTTCTGTTTCACTTTCTTAATTTATTTCACTTCTACAAAAATCTGCCAAATGTCTTCTTTAAAACAAGACCAATCTTACGTCTATATTCCAAAGCATTCTTGAATTACAACCATTTAAGTTCGAAATGTGCATTTTCATGTATATTCAAAAAAAGGGGGGTGACACTTAAAGGGCTAAATGAGCAAAATTTATGATGAGATGTGCTCCAGTTCACGTGCAATGCAATCGCGCCGCGCCCACGCTTCCTTATCTTTATCATATTGTCTGCTATATTTGCTTCTTATTTAGGCTATTATACCCAGTCAATTGGTTGATGAAAAATTTATTAAAATTAAGATACAATTTATACAAAACGAAATTCACTTTAAAAAAGGCTTTCTACAAAACAAAACTTTATTTATACTTAACATAAAAAAATAAAAATCCTTTTCCTTTAAATCCTCGCTTGTCTGGCTTATGCTACTCCGAGCAAGGTCCGAACTTGGTATTTTGAGCACTTCTTGCGTTGTTTTTGCCTTTTCACGATGACTCGCTTGGTTTAGTCCTCAGTTGAGTCGCTTTGGATAAAAGCGTCTGCTAAAATAAATGACTAAATGTAAATGTGTAAATGTAAATTTAGTGGTCAAAATCATGTCTGACCCATCATATCTTCCGATATATCGCGCATCTTACTCATGCTGTTCATCAGCATAGATGTAAAAAAACAAAACAACCTTATTATAATATTTTAACAAAAATGAAATTAAATGCGCTTATTTAATGGCTACAACACACATATAGTGAGCCTGACTCTCTAAATATTGAAACAATTAACATTAACAATGCTGAAGTGCAGTTAATTAAAAGTAAATGTCAACTACCGTAAAACTTCAAATAATAGCCGAGTCCCAAATAGACGCCTGTCTCTTTTACACGCCTGGTGTGGCTGCAGGTTTGGGTAAATAAAGGCCGGTCTCAAATAGAGGCCGGGTCTGTTTTTTAGTTTCGGGTTGTATTTAATCCTCAAAACCGCCAGATCGCCCGCTTTTTGGCGGCCGCCAAAGCACATTTTTGTCCCTCCAAAGCCTTTTTTTGATCGGCGAGTGATGTAGAATAGAATGACTGCTGCGCTTGACAGGGCGCGTTACGAGCAGAGAAAGAGAGAGAGAGAGATCGCCCCGGCCGCGCGCACTCTCACGTCAACAACACGAGCGCTGTCTTGCTCTCTCTCCCTCGCGCATATCAAAATCAATTGACGCGATAGTAAAAGGTCGGAAGACCGCAGTTTCACGTGGAGCATTTGGAGATTTTTAGAGATTAGAGACAGGCCTATACACTCAATGAACAACATCTCAACACTAAATTATAAAGGCCTGTCTCATATAGACGCCTGTCTCAAATACAAGCCGGTGCAGTTCGACGATTTGGGTAAATAAAAGCCCGGGCTACTATTTGAAGTTTTACGGTAATCTAATTAAGAGTTACCGATTTTTTATACACCGATTCAGAGGTCTCATGAGTTCAGTGTTGGACATGTCAGTTGTTTAACTATTCATTAAAGTGAATGGTTAAAATGAGTCATTCGTTTGCGTATCGGACGTGTGGACTTCTATACGGCACGCTTGTGTGATTATCTCGGCAGTTTAGGACATCGCAAAAGATTTGCGTCAATACAGAAAACATATCATTGGATAGGTTTTTTCGTTTATTGAAATGTGGTTTAGGTCAGCTGAATGGGCGGAACGCTTTTTAGAAACGATAAGCTAGGCAACGTGTTTTTTTAGCACAATTCACACCGCGGTAATTCAGGAGAACAAATCTCCAAATGCTCCATAAACTGCGGTCTTCCGACCTTTTACTATCGTGTCAATTGATTTTGATTAATATGCGCGAGAAGTGTTTGAAGACGTGAGAGTGCGCGCGGCCGGGGCTCTCTCTCTCTGCTCGTGATGCGCCCTGTCAAGCGCAGCAGTCATTCTATTCTACATCACTCACCGATCAAAAAAGGCTTTGGCGGGACAAAAATTTGCCGTTATTATGTCGAAATACCGAGATATTATATTGAAATAACGACTTAATATCTCGAATTAACATATATTTTAATATAATTGATTCCAGACATTATTTTGGTGGGTGCTATCAGGGTGCTTTGGTCTTTCTTGGGGGTGCTGAAGCACCTGCTAGCCCCTCCCTAGCGCCGCCCATGCATCCCTCCAATGCATACGTAACCCCTTTTGCCTCGATCTGGAGGATATCGCTGAGGTATTGCTCCAAAAAAGGTCACTGATACGCACGGGTATACCTCTTCCCGTCATGGCAATCTGTCGCGCTGGCCGTGTTTGACCATTTGTTTGACGGGCGTTTTAACAATAACTAGGGGGCGTGGCTTTTGCGAACGGTCAATTGAGTAGTTTTTTTTTTTGTGTAGCCTACTTCTACGACTATTTCTAAGTAGTTTTTAAAATCTGTATTTTACTTTTACTTAAGTACGTTTTTTTAAGTATAGTAGCCTACTTCGCTACATTTTAAATCATATCCGTTACTGAGTAAAAAAATTATAATTCAAGGGGAAGATCAAGGCATCGTGGAACATTGAAACAGTTGAAGCAAATGTGCCGTATTGTGTCGAGACTTCAAAACAATCCGACACCTGTCTCCATGGTGACCATAGTGGTCAGAGCACTGTAAATGCAACAAAAACCCAGGCAAAACATGCATAAAAACGATACTCGGTTACTAACGTAACCTCGGTTCTCTCTAGAGAGGGAACGAGTATTGCGTAAGTTTAGCTTACGCTACGGGAAAGATTCATCTTCTCGAGATATTGAAGCCAAAAAATTATCCTTAATTTTGTATTCATTGTCAACGCAGTGCAGCAGCTAGCAGACCTAGAGCAGGCCATCTCGCGTGCTTATTGGCTGCCCTGCATGCATCTGCTGCAGCCTACCAGTGAGCCCCGCGTGACGTCACACCCAATGAAGGGCGCTCGCGCCTTCATAGCGTCATAGCCCGCCAGAATGGGCGTGGCTTAGTGTATAAAAGGCTCTGACATTTCTGGGTGCCTGCCGCTTTAAGACTCTTCTTCTGTGGCTACGGTGGAGGAAGTGTGTAGTGTGTGTTGACTATGGTGGGAACAGAAATAAGTTCAAGTTTAACAGTTATAGTTTAGCCCACGTACATGTGTTGATTAGCCTCTTTAGTTCATCCTGAATAATCCAGCTTCCAATATTCCATGTGTTGAGTGAATGAAGAAAAGTAAGTGACTGTCATTTGTTGTGTTATGTTTCAATATCGTAGATTTACCGGGCATTAACATGTGCCTAGCGTGATGAGTGAGATTTATAGTGATAGAACAATGTTCATGCTGTAAAACGCTGTAGGAAACAAGTTAACTAATGTGAGCATTCTGATGTCTAAGTTACATAGTAACGTTTATAACATTGAGTTAAAGAGAGTTAATATTGTGCTCAGGAGACCATGTGCGAACGCTATTGTGTAGTAGCCTTGTCTGGCCTGAGGATGTCGCCATTGCTCCTTCTGTAGACCCCCTTTTTAATACAGTCTCATGCAAAATGGTTAGTGAGATGGGTGAAGCTCTTTATATTTGTGCCAGGAGTAATATTCTCATTTATGTAATTGTATATTATATTTAAAGGGGCATAGCAATGTTTATTGAGATTTATGTTTGATTATCCTGATTTGTATTGTGAGTGTGGATTTATTATTCACGTTGTATAATAATTAAGTACTGAAACTGTTTAAAATGACAGTACCTAATTGTGATTTATTTTGTTTTTTATCAGACTATAATGACAATACTGGATATTGGAATGTTCTGATGAGTACTGCTGGATCTTAATACAGTTTAAAGAAGAAATTACATCTCGTCTTTATTCCTGTGTCCTGACCGATACACCATCCTGTTTACTGGCTGAAAACATTGACGAACTAGTCCTACTTGATTACCTCACTAACATTGGTCCTTCGAGCCGGATAGCAGTATTCAGGATGGAGTCAGATGAAGAGATGTATCCTGATGTGAGACCTAAACGTCAAATACGTCGACCTGCCAGACTTCAGGACTTTGAAGTGGACTATATGGGATATAGTCAACGAGATCAGTTACAATGGGGCCCGCCATCCTCTGCCTTGGATAGGAGGGCGTTCCTCACTCGGGAGGGTCTAGACCAGATGACCCCCTTCCAGACAGCCCACCCTCACTCTAGTGGCTTCCTTGGGAATGCTGCTCACCCTGAGATTCCTCAGCTAGCCCCAGACCACAGCCAGAGGAGAGATTTGGATGGGTTTATCCAGCCTGCGCAAACACCTTCATCCCATCAGAGCCCATATCTGGATTCTCGTTTCTCTGAGGAAATCAGAGCTATTCGAGAGGAGAATACTAAGCTGTTCCAAACACAACAGGCCTTCCAGACTGGCATAAGGGAACTCAATGAAGCACGGCGTGAGATGAAAGAGCTACTGGAGATAGCCCGCTCACTGAGAGCAGACCTGGCCCAAGTTAATAGCCCAGCTTCAAACTACAGTAACCCCAAATCTCCACAAGCCGCTGCTGTAGCCTCAAGGAGTTTCGCTGTTGCAGCACATTCAAAGGAAATGGAGGAGGAGGAATGGCCTGATCCTCCACCCTGGCCTGAACCTGATGAGAACCTGTCGAGAGGCATGTGCAATCTTAGGGTCGGAGAACAAGGGCTAGAGAGTAGCCAACTCGACTTTGCCCCTGAAGCTAGAGTATGTATGCCTTGTAAGCCTCCACTGCCTCCTCAGCATCCCGTTCCTGCTTCCGGCAAAGGGATATCACCATACCTCTCTAGACAACCCTCTCAGCTGCTCACACACCCTGGACCAGCACCTTTAATGCAATCAGCGCCTGCCCGAGCCTACCATCCCTTAGCAGCCACTGGAGCGGTACATGGCATGCCGCCTCCTAAACAGTTTATTCAGCCACCAGGGAATGAACAAGTGTATCGAGGACCCCAACCCACAATCCCAAAGTTCATTCACCCGGATCCCAGTGAGTTTGCACGGCTTCGCATAGCTCTAGAGAACCTACTCCCATCTAATGCTACAGAACTCTTCAAGTATCAAATACTTGTGGATCATTTAAAGTTGGAGGAAGCTAGGCTTATAGCTGATGCCTATCTGAACTCACCAACCCCCTATAGTGACACTATGTCAGCCCTTCATGATAAATTCGGTCAGCCTCATCAACTTGCCTTAAAGAAGATAGCAAGTGTTCTAGAAACCCCCGAAGTAAGGCGTGGTGATACTATGGCATTCCAGAAGTTCTCTCTCCAGATACAATCTTTAGTGGGCTTGTTGCAGACTTTGGGGCCTGAAGGGGAAATCGAACTCAACTGTGGCTCACATGTTGCTCGTCTGCTGAGTAAGCTCCCTCCGGAACAGCGAGCTGATTTCCGTCGACATCAGTTCAAGCAGTTAGGGGCGACCCACACTCTATATGATTTGGCAGAATGGCTCCGCTATGAATCATGGTGTCAGGGTTTCGACAGTCAGGCTACCGGACGCAGCATAAGGGAAAGGCAGAACGTGAAGACCGATGGTCGTCCTGGAAGACAAACGGTGACCGTCCTACATGGAGCTGGTGAGTCTGCAGAGACAGCCCCTTTGTACCACAAAGAGAGTTCAGCCAACAGAGCAGCCAAGAGTAGAGCCTACTGTGCCTACTGTGATAGTAATGAGCATTATCTCAGTCAATGCAGTGCTGTCGCCAAACTTTCCAAAGATCAGCTTAGAGAGTGGATACGGGTTAACAAGCGGTGCTGGCGCTGTGCACGAACTCATCAAGCAGCACTGTGCACATTGAAGAAACCCTGCAACATCTGTCAGGGAAAACACCTACTGGCTCTTCACGAGATAAATACAAGAGCAGAGAGGGGCAATAAAGATGTAGCTGTTAAAGAAGAGAGTTGCTTAACCAGCTCTGCGGCTGACTCGCTCTACCTGGACAGACCTGGAGCCGGGAATCGAGTCATGTTAAAGGTGGTCCCTGTGCTTGTACATTATGAGGACCGGACACTTGACACCTTTGCGATCCTCGATGATGGGTCAGAGAGGACCATGTTGTTGCCAGCAGCAGCTAAGTTTCTTGGCATAAAGGGCACTCCTGAAGCGCTTCCTCTGCGTACAGTCCGTCAGGACATCCAGATCCTCCATGGCCACACAGTGTCTTTCTGTGTCTCACCAGCTGCAAACCCTCACACTAGCTATAAGATCAATGGTGCCTTCACAGCTGGCTGCCTCAGCCTAGCACAGCATACTTACCCTATTGACCGCCTGAAGAGGAAATACAAATACCTAGGTGGCATTCCCTTACCTGCCTTAAGAGATGCTCAGCCAACACTCCTTGTAGGCTCCGACAACCCTCAACTGATAACACCTGTCGAGCCAGTCAGACTTGGTCCACCAGGTGGCCCAGCCGCAGTCCGCACCAAGCTTGGGTGGACTCTTCAAGGCCCTACCCCATTCATGGGGCGGCAAATCCAACCTGCACAGTGTCTGTTTACTTCATCTACACCACCAATGGATGAGCTTTACAACCATGTTGAGAGGCTCTGGCAAGTAGACACTGTACCTTACCGACACGAAAGAGAGGTGACTCGGTCAAAGCAGGATCAGCAGGCTGTAGCATTGCTTGAAGCCAAGACGGTCCGTATTAATGTAGATGGAATTCTCAGGTACGCCACACCATTGCTGCGCCATGCAAACATGCCACCTTTGCACTCACCAAAGGAGTCAGTTATGCCCATGTTACGTAGTACTGAGAGGCGACTCTTAAAGGACCCCAAGCTAGCGGATGCATACAAGATGGAAATGCAGAAGCTCATTGAAGCAGGTGCTGTGAGGGAAGTCACTGAGGAGACCTCTACCAAAGAAGGATGGTACATCTCACATCATCTCGTCAGCCATAACGGAAAGAACCGCCTCGTGTTTAACTGCTCTCACCAGTACCTTGGGCAGACCCTGAACCAGTACCTGCTACCTGGCCCTACACTTGGGGCCCCCTTGCTGGGAGTCTTAGTGAGATTTCGTGAACATCCCATAGCGGTTAGTGGAGACATCAAGGGGATGTTTCATCAAGTCCGCCTCATCACTGAAGATCGCCCTCTTCTAAGGTTCCTGTGGCGGGACCTGAAGGTGGAAGAGCCCCCAAGAACATTTGAGTGGCAAGTTTTGCCTTTCGGCACAACCTGCAGCCCGTGCTGTGCGACATACGCCCTGCAGCGCCATGTTGTTGACCACTGCCAGCCAGACGATGACTTGAGATTCTCGGTTGAGAACTGCTTTTACGTCGATAACTGCCTGCAGAGCATGTGTACGCCGGGTGAAGCTAAACTGCTGGTGGATCGGCTCAGGGATCTTCTGGCTTCTGCAGGCTTTGAGTTGCGTCAATGGGCTTGCAATGATCCAAGCGTCCTGAGCCACTTGCCTCGAGAGGCCAGATCCGAAAGCCTGGACCTGTGGCTGGCGCAGGATAAGTCAAACCCTCTGGAGTCAACACTCGGTCTCAGCTGGAATTGGGCAACCGACTCTTTGAGCTACAAACATAGACCTGTGGCCTACGAGGTACCAACCCTGAGGAACATTTACAGAGTTCTAGCTACTCAATATGATCCCTTGGGTTACATGTTACCTTTCTCCACCCGAGCAAAGCTCATCATCAGGCAGTTGTGGGATAAGAAGCGAGGTTGGGATGACCCTAACTTACCGGCCGAACTCCTGCAAGCCTGGTCCAGCTGGGAGGCTGAACTTGAGTCCTTACCTCTCCTTACCTTTCCGCGTGCATATGTTCCTGCGGACGCCAACCTTGAGGGTGCCACCCGTGAGGTGCACATCTTCGCAGATGCCTCAGAGCAAGCTTATGGGGCCGTAGCCTACATGAGAACTGAGGACAAGGAAGGCCAGATCCACCTGTCTTTCATCCTTGCTCGTTCACGAGTGGCTCCAAGACGTCTGCATTCCATCCCACGCCTGGAGCTTTGTGGAGCTCTGGTTGCAGCGCAGCTGGCTCGTGTCCTTGAGAGGGAACTTACCTTGACAGTGGCTCGAACGGTGCTGTGGTCAGACTCCACTACAGTACTAACCTGGCTACACTCCCAGTCTTGCCGCTACAAGGTCTTCGTGGGCGCCAGAATAGCGGAGATACAGGAGTTAACAGAGAAGTGCACTTGGCGCTACGTGGACTCGGCGAACAATCCTGCTGATGATCTGACGAGAGGGAAGACCCTGGCGGCCCTAATAGATCCCAACCGATGGTCTCAAGGACCCCCCTTCCTTCTCCAGAACCCAGCCACCTGGCCAGAAAGACCCAGCACTGAGCCATCAGAGGACAGGGCAGAACTACGAAAGGCCACCTTCTGTGGAGTAACGATTACCTCACCAATGACGATCAGCAGGGATGACAAGGTGTACCAAACCTGGCAAGAGCTCTTAGATGCCACTGCTCAAGAAATCCTAGGACAAACCTCTTCTAGTTCACCGCTTAATGCTGAAGAGTACCAACAGGCAGAGATGATTGTTCTCCAGCGAGCCCAACAACAGTCCTTTCCAGAGGACTACAAACTCCTTGCAGCAGGGAAACCCGTCTCATCTGGGAGTCGATTACTTACCTTGGCTCCGGAGCTAGATAAATCCACGGACCTCATAAGAGTAGGAGGTCGGCTCCGACGTTTGGAAGGCCAAGACGACTTGACATTGCACCCTGTGGTTCTGGATGCCTCACACCCAGTTACACGCTTGCTTATCCAAAGGTACGATAGCAACCTGCACCATCCTGGTCCAGAGCGAGTTTTTGCAGAGATGCGGCGGTCATTCTGGATAATCCATGGAAGGGAGGCAATTCGCAGACACCAGCGTTCTTGTGCCGAATGTCAGCGCTGGAGAGCTCAGCCTTCCATTCCCAGAATGGCGGACCTTCCCGTTGCTCGTCTCCGATTACACAAACCAGCCTTCCACTCCACTGGCGTGGATTGTTTTGGACCCATGTTTGTGAAGATGGGCAGACGCCAGGAGAAACGCTGGGGAATAATATTTAAGTGTTTAACAACCAGGGCGGTACACTTGGATCTCCTCAGAAGTATGGATGCGGATGCTTACTTGATGGCCCTAAGACGGTTCATCGCGAGAAGAGGGACACCTGCAGAGTTGTTCTCAGACCAGGGGACCAACTTCAGAGGAGGAGAACGGGAACTTAGAGAGGCTTTTGCCAGTATGGAGCCAACCTTGCGGAAACGACTCGCACGTCAGAGGATTAAGTTCCAGTTTAACCCCCCAGCAGCTCCACACTTTGGAGGGGTGTGGGAGAGAGAGGTCCGCTCCGTCAAGTCTGCACTTTACACCTGTGTGGGGGCCCAACCTGTTCATGAAGACGTCCTTCTCACAGTTCTCCTGGAAGTTGAGGCAATTCTCAACTCTAAACCATTGGGTTATGTATCTGCTGACATTGCGGATATCGACCCTGTGACACCCAATAGTCTGCTTATGGGGCGGCCTGATGGATCCCTCCCCCAAGTAGTTTATCCTGAGACGGAGCTCCTGAGCCGCAGACGCTGGCGGCATTCACAAGTTCTCGCTGACCAATTCTGGTCCAGATTCATCAGAGAATATCTCCCTGGGCTGCAGACCAGACAGAAATGGCACTCTTCTTCTCCTGAACTACTGGATAAGGCCGTTGTCATGCTGGTGGACCCGCAGCTGCCTCGAGCCCTGTGGCCCATTGGGCATGTAACCAAGATTCACCGCAGTGATGATGGGTGCATTAGATCCGCTGATGTGGACATCAAAGGACATGTGTACACCCGACCGGTAGCTCGGTTGGTGATGTTGCCAGCTCTCCCGTCTGGGGAGGATGATGCCGCTGTGAGCCCCCCTCAGCCTGACTGATAAGCCTTTTAATGGAAGCAAATGTGCTCGCACATTTGGGGGCGGCTGTATAAAAGGCTCTGACATTTCTGGGTGCCTGCCGCTTTAAGACTCTTCTTCTGTGGCTACGGTGGAGGAAGTGTGTAGTGTGTGTTGACTATGGTGGGAACAGAAATAAGTTCAAGTTTAACAGTTATAGTTTAGCCCACGTACATGTGTTGATTAGCCTCTTTAGTTCATCCTGAATAATCCAGCTTCCAATATTCCATGTGTTGAGTGAATGAAGAAAAGTAAGTGACTGTCATTTGTTGTGTTATGTTTCTATATCGTAGATTTACCGGGCATTAACATGTGCCTAGCGTGATGAGTGAGATTTATAGTGATAGAACAATGTTCATGCTGTAAAACGCTGTAGGAAACAAGTTAACTAATGTGAGCATTCTGATGTCTAAGTTACATAGTAACGTTTATAACATTGAGTTAAAGAGAGTTAATATTGTGCTCAGGAGACCATGTGCGAACGCTATTGTGTAGTAGCCTTGTCTGGCCTGAGGATGTCGCCATTGCTCCTTCTGTAGACCCCCTTTTTAATACAGTCTCATGCAAAATGGTTAGTGAGATGGGTGAAGCTCTTTATATTTGTGCCAGGAGTAATATTCTCATTTATGTAATTGTAGATTATATTTAAAGGGGCATAGCAATGTTTATTGAGATTTATGTTTGATTATCCTGATTTGTATTGTGAGTGTGGATTTATTATTCACGTTGTATAATAATTAAGTACTGAAACTGTTTAAAATGACAGTACCTAATTGTGATTTATTTTGTTTTTTATCAGACTATAATGACAATACTGGATATTGGAATGTTCTGATGAGTACTGCTGGATCTTAATACAGTTTAAAGAAGAAATTACATCTCGTCTTTATTCCTGTGTCCTGACCGATACACCATCCTGTTTACTGGCTGAAAACATTGACGAACTAGTCCTACTTGATTACCTCACTAACACTTAGCGTATATAAGAAGGGGCTCGTAGGCTGAATTCCCTGGTTTTTCGACAACTGAAGCGAAGTCGCTCGTGGCGCGAGCACGGCCGGTTACGCAATACTCGTTCCCTCTCTAGAGAGAACCGAGGTTACGTTAGTAACCGAGTATCGTTCTCTTACGAGAGGTTCTCTCGTATTGCGTAAGTTTAGCTTACGCTACGGGAACACTTTGTCAACGCCGTGCGCGCCAAGCATCCACCATGAGGCCCCGAACTTTCAGGGAACCCCTATGAGGTGGAGAATAAGGTGGCCAGCTACGCGGGCCATCACTTGTACATAAGCACACATAGGGAATACAGAGCAGCGCGCCGGTCTGTATAGGCACATGGCTCATACCCCACTTAGTGCAGCTCAACCAGGAGAGCTGGGTCATGTGAGAGTGATCTGAGCAGGAGGTCTGGGCAGAATACACCTCTCCTCTAAACCGACAACAGTTTAGCCTGCAAGGCAGGAACTTCCAGGTTATAAAACCTGACAAAGGTAGACGGGGAGCTCCAGCCCGCCGCCACACATATGTCATGGATAGAAATTCCACTGGACCATGCCCACGAAGAGGCCACGCCTCTCGTGGAATGAGCCCTGATGCCCAGAGGGCATTGCAGACCTTTTGACGCGTAAGCGGCTGCTATAGCGTCCACTATCCATCTGGACAGGCTCTGTTTCGAGGAGGCGAGACCTTTGGTGCGCCCACCGAACGAAACAAACAGCTGTTCCGAACGCCTGAATGAGGCGGAGCGCGTAATGTAAAACCTCAGCGCTCTGACAGGGCAGAGGAGGTTCACATCACTTTCGCTGTCAGATGCTGGGAGCGCTGACAACGAGATGACTTGCGCTCTGAACGGAGTGCCCATCACTTTCGGAACATAACCATGTCTAGGTCTGAGGATGACTTTAGAGTCATTCGGCCCGAACTCAAGACACGACGCGCTGACAGACAGCGCATGTAGGTCCCCCACACGCTTTACTGACGACAGTGCAGTCAGAAAGACGGTTTTTAGTGATAGATATTTCAACTCCACAGAATCCAGTGGTTCGAAGGGAAAAGCTTTCAGGGCCTCCAGGACCAGTGAAAGATCCCACATGGGAACCGACGGGGGGCGCGGCGGGTTCATCCTCCTAGCTCCTCTTAGGAAGCGGATGACCAACTCATGTCTTCCCAATGACTGGCCGTGCGTCGATTCTGCGAACGCTGCCACGGCCGCCACATACACTTTGAGCGTGGATGGGGACCTCCCCTTATCCAACAGCTCTTGTAGGAAGGAGAGCAGCTGCGCCACCCCGCATGTCCGCGGGTCCAGACCTCTGTCCGTGCACCATTCCGAGAACACCGACCATTTAGACGCGTAGAGCCTTCTTGTAGAAGGGGCTCTAGACTGCGTGATCGTGTTCATTACTCCTTCTGGCAGGGCAACGAGTACCCGTTGATCAACCATGCGTGCAGAGACCAGCGCTCTGGATGGGGATGCCAGATCGTGCCGCGAGCCTGAGAGAGGAGATCTGCCCTCACCGGAATCGGCCACGGAGCTGTATGTGACAGCCGTGCCAGCTCCGGGAACCAAATCTGATTCTCCCAACGCGGGGCTATGAGGAGCACCGAGTGGCGCGTTTCCCTGATTCTCTTGATTACCTGTGGTAACAGAGAGACCGGGGGAAAAGCATATAGCCGGAGGCTGGGCCAAACCTGGGCCAGCGCGTCCTCGTCCTTCGAGAAGAACGTTGGGCATTGAGCGTTGTCTTTTGACGCAAATAGGTCGACTTCCGCCCTGCCGAACAGGCGCCACAGTTTCTGGACCGTTTGGGGGTGCAGGGACCATTCCCCTGGGGGAACGTTGTCCCTGGACAGTTTGTCTGGGCCGTCGTTCAAATGGCCCGGCACATGCGCCGCCCTCAGCGAGCGCAGGTGCAACTGGGACCAAATAAGGAGGCGCTCCGTCAGATTGCAGAGATTTCTGGATCTGACACCGCCCTGACGGTTTACATAGGATACCACAGACATGTTGTCCGAGCGGACGAGAACATGTTGGTCCTGTATGAACGGGAGGAAGCACTTCAGCGCATTCTCGACCGCTATCATTTCCAGACAGTTTATGTGAAAACACCTCTCTTGGTCTGACCACTGGCCGAAGACCGGTCTGCCCTCGAACAGCGCGCCCCAACCCCAGTTGGACGCGTCTGTCGAAATGACTTTCCGATAAGAGACGGTTCCCATCGTCACTCCCAGCTGGTACCAGTCGGCCACTAACCAGGGCTGCAGAGCCGCTATGCAGGTCTGAGTCACTCTGATTTTCTGACCGCCAGAAACCCAAGCTCGGCGGGACGCGCGAGCATTCAGCCAGCGTTGGAGCGGGCGCATGCGCAGTAGGCCCAGCTGAAGCACCGCTGCAGCTGACGCCATACAGCCCAACATCCTCTGAAAAGTTTTCAAAGGGAGAAAGCTGTCCCTTTGGAAAGACGCGGCTAGGTGGCGAACACGGAGCGCGCGCTGTGCCGATAGACGAGCCGACATAGTCACCGAGTCCAGTTCCATTCCTAAAAAGGAAATTGACTGGCTGGGTAGTAATGAGCTCTTGGTCCAGTTGACCGTGAGACCCAAGCTTTCCAGGTGACTGAGAAGCACTGTTCTGTGAGACAGCAGCTCCGTCTCTGACTGTGCCAAAATCAGCCAATCGTCCAGATAGTTCATTATCCGCAGCCCCTGACTTCTCAGGGGGGCGAGCGCCGCGTCCATGCACTTCGTAAATGTAGGGGGTGCCAGAGACAGGCCGAACGGCAGGACGGTGTATTGATATACCTGACCGTCGAAGGCGAATCTCAAAAATCGCCTGTGACGGGGTATTATCTGAATCTGGAAATAGGCATCCTTCAGATCTAGAGAAATAAACCAGTCCCTCGGGCGAACGTGCGCGAGGATTTTCCTGGTCGTAAGCATTTTGAACGGTCTTTTCACAAGCACCCTGTTCAAATGTCTCAGATCTAGGATCGGTCTGAAGGTTCCGTCCTTCTTGGGTACGAGAAAATAACGGCTGTAAAAGCCTGACTCGCTCAGAGAAGGCGGCACCTTTTCTATAGCCCCTTTGCACAGCAGCTTTGCTATTTCTGCGTGAAGTAGGTGTGCTACTTCCGTATTCACTATCGTCGCGGTCCGGGCTCGAAAGCGCGGGGGACGGCGAATGAATTGAAGTGTATAGCCCTGCTTTATTGTGCTCAGCACCCATTCCGAAATCCCCGGGATAGATTCCCACGCAACTATGTGAGCCGCTAGGGGGCGAATGGCCTCCAGGTTCAGATCGCCGCCATTCGCGGGCTTGTGAAACTGAACCGGAGCTGAGAGCGCGGCGCGCGCGCTCTCTGTTCTGGGCAACGGCTGCTCGCTGAAAACCGAAACCGGCTGCTTTGTGTGAGATGTCCCAATCATAAGGGATGGGGAACCTTTTTTTCCTCACTTTTTGACACGCGAGCGGCGCTTTGGGCGGAAAAGCGTTCTGTAAGCGTGAGCGCGTTTGCGCGGGCACGAGACTTACACATGTATTTGACGCCCCGATCAAAATGGATGGGGAGCGTTTTATTATCGCCCTGCGTTTCATGATAACACTTAAACGCGCGGGCGGCGCCCGGGGGGAGGTTTGTGTTAGCAAGCGTGAACGCTCTCTGGTGGGCACGGGACTTACATTCATAACCTGCTGTCTTGACCGTGTAACAGAGCGGGCAGATAGTGGGCACAACACTGTGGACACATTTCTTACATTCAACACTCGAGCGGCTTTTCTGCGCTTTATGAGAGTGTGCTCTGTGGGTGACACGATATTTGATGTGCTTGTGTGTAGGGGTGAACACTGGGAGGTGGGCACTTTCACTACACTTAGAACACTGACGGCGTGAGCCGGACCAGACATAATACTCTTTTTGAGATTTCTCTGGGTCGCCGTGAAAACGGCGTTTGTGTGCAGGCGAGAGGGTGGACAAACCGGCTCGTTGGCTGCTAAATGAACCACTGCAGTAGCCTGACTGAAGGGGACTGACAGGGAAATAAGCTTCGACGGCGGTCCGGCCGCGGCGGGACACGCGCGTCTTTTCTCTCTCTTTGTTAGGAGGATTTCGCGTGCTCAGACTTCAGCGTGATCTTCTGCCGAGGCCCCCTGGGGGGCGGCGGTCTGTGACGGCTGTCTGAGCGCGACCTAGGGCGGCCGCCCTGACGTCGCTGCGAAGGCTGGGGTTGTGCTGGACGCTGGGTGTTAGCTCGTACAGGAGGCTGGCTTTGTTTCTCGCGAGAGCGGCCTGTAGCGGAGCTCGAGCGTCGCGGCAGGAAGAGATTCATGGCCTGCGTGGTCTTCTGCACTTCAGAGAAACGGTCAACGATCCCGTTAACCGCTTGGCCGAAGAGACCAGTGGGGGAGAGCGGCGCGTTCAGGAAGGTGGCTCGCTCAGTTTCCCTCATATCCGCGAGCGTCAACCAGAGATGCCTCTCTGTTACAGTCAACGCGGCCATGGCTCGTCCGATAGCCTGAGCTGCGGTTTTGGTGGCGCGGAGAGAGAGATCCGTCGCGCTTCTCAGATCTGTAACCGCAGCTGGATCCCGGCCCTTCTCGTCCCATTCACGGAGGAGGTCGGCTTGCAGGATCTGTAACACAGCCATGGAGTGGAGAGCAGACGCGGCCTGGCCGGAGGCGGCATATGCGCGGCCGACCAAGGCGGACGTGGCTCTGCAGGCTTTAGACGGGAGGGCTGACCGAGACCGCCATCTCGCGGAGGGCGGGCAAAGGTGCGCTGCGACCGTCTCTTCCACAGGGGGAATAGCCGTGTATCCCTTCTCGGCGGCGCCGTCCACTTGGGAGAGCGACGCGGAGGCCTGGGACTGAAGTCTCGAGGAGAATGGTGCATTCCAGGACTTCG